CCTGCGGAAAAATATTTATGGTTAAAGAGGCAACAAAAAATTGTTGAAAACACGGATAAGTGACTCTTACTATAAGTGAATATATAAATTTGCATCATTCAGAAATGTAGTGCCTATATACGTAAAAAATAGTATGAATTTCACTATGATGATTATATCCTATTTTTTGTGATCCTTGTCAGAGCAGTGCTTTCAAAATTCTGTAGAAAAAGATATTGGAAGTTAGTGTTAACCATACTACCAGTGGCGGACTAAGCTTGTCGGGGGCCCGGGGCGGCGAAGCTAAATGTGACCCCCGGTCTGCACATTTTGTAAAGATTGAATGACGTATGAATAATGGTTGACAAATTTCAAGTATTTATATACTGTAATAATTGTAATAAAATCGATATATATATATATATATATATATATATATATATATATATATATATATATATATATATATATATATTGTATATATATATATATATATATATATATATATATATATATATATATATATATATATATATATATATATATATACAGAGTGTCACAGAAATAAGTGTCAGTATTTTAAGGGGTGGTAGATAAAAGAACATATTTTTTCTTCATCGTTTTTCAAATAAGTCCAAAACAACGGAGTCATTTTACTTCGAAAATTTGCTAAAATTTTTAGAACCACTGAATCTTTTCTGGATTTTCTTTTTTGTAAATTTAATCTAATACCTATGTTGTCATATTAACAAGAAATTATGTTTTTTAACTAAAAACTAAAAAAATTCTCAAAAAATTTTTTCAAAATTTTTTGGGAATTTTTTTTTCATGAAAAACATCATATGCGTATTTCTGGGGTTGAACTATACTACCAGTAAAAATGGTATAGCACTTATTTCTGGGACAATTAAATTGAGGAAAAGACAGACACAGATTACAAGAGGAAAAACTTTTTAGTTATTGACTTTTGAAAAAATACGTTCTTCATAAGAATTTTTGCTTGTTGTAAAACGGCGTTTATAATTTTCTAAATATCCATACCGTTTTAGAACAAATAAAAAAAAAACATAAAAATGTAGTTTTTTAAAATAATTTTTCCCCCTAAAAAAATCCTAAAAAACTAAAAGTCCTAAAAATTAAAAGGCTATGGTAATATAATTTCGATTTCATTTTTTGATAAATCGTTATAATATACCGTTTTAGAACAAATAAAAAAAACATAAAAATGTAGTTTTTTAACATAATTTTTCCCCTAAAAAAATCCTAAAAACTAAAAGTCCTAAAATTTCATTTTTTGATAAATCGTTATAATATACCGTTTTAGAACAAATAAAAAAAAACATAAAAATGTAGTTTTTTAACATAATTTTTCCCCCTAAAAAAATCCTAAAAAACTAAAAGTCCTAAAAATTTAAAGGCTATGGTAATATAATTTCGATTTCATTTTTTGATAAATCGTTATAATTAATTTTGATTAACGTCATATTTTTTTATGTTAAAGTATCACATTTTCCGATAACCATTATCACCCTTTGGTAGCATTGAACTAAATAAATTTTGTGCTTCTTTAACATTTTAAAACAGCAAAAAATATAACTTTGATTAAAATTCTGTCAATAATAATCTATCAAAAAATGAGAACGACATTATATTACCATAGAGAGGCGTTTTATTTTTACTAGTTCAAAAATTCAACTACAATTTTATGTTTTTTTTATTTTTCTCTAAAACTCAAAGTCTAAAACGGTATGGAAATTTGGAAAGGTATAAACAGGAATTACCATTTTAGAACCAGCAAAAATTTTTATGAAGACAATCCGCGGCCTACTGTAGATATAAATATGTTATTCATCGGCAGTGCCGTTTTTATGTAGGAACTTGTTGATGTTTCGAAAGTAACACATAATATATAATTTCTTTTTTTTTTCATAGTCTGTATTTCTTATTCTGTCGATGTTACTTCTTCTATTAATGTATTATTCGTTTTTCTTTATTGTTTTCATTAATATTCGTACTTTTATTTTATTATTTAAAACTGAAATGGAGTTAAAAGAAATGGAATAATAGTACCAGATTTTTATGCATGATTCCCATTTCCAGAAAATAGCATAAAACATAATTACTATACCTGTCATGTATGTGTTTTTTGATTTCAATACATTATATTTCTTTTGTAATCGACATGCTGCTTATGTCATCTGCGTGGGTCTTTTGTACCGTTTCTGCTTCATTATTATTTAATATTACTCAAATTATTTCTTTTTTAAATTTTGAATTATATTATATTCTGAAAAATATAATGCTCATTTCTGTCAATAAAACTGCATTTGACTTAAGATGTTCTATAGAACCAAAATTAAAATCTAAGACATGCCAAAATAAGTTTAATGGAGTAGAAAAACCCCGAGAAAAACTGTAATATTGAAGAATTTTTGTGCAAATCAAGAAATGAGGTCAAAATATATACCTAATTGATTTCATATCAGAAACCGGTAATAACATCAACACATATTTGACAATATTGAAGTTAATCAGTTTTCTAGGTTTAATTCAAAACTCAGTAATGCATTTTTTAATTTTTTTTTTCTTGCTTTTGCGCATTCCCTATTTTATTTATTTATTATATCTTCGATTATATCCTTTGTATTAATTTATTTATATTCCATAAACCCTTTTTCTTGTTCTGCATTAAAAATCCTAAATTATCCAAAACCCAAATATAAATATCATTATTCCATTTATGTTTGCATTTATTAAATACAATACATTAAATTTATTACCTGTATCAATGTTCATTTTGCATCTCATGCCATAATGGTATATGTATTTAAAAATGCAGTTTTCTATTAGTAACATTTCTCCTTCATGGTTATTCCATAATTACCGAGATAACTATTTACTATTTTATATGTTTGGAATATATTATGCTGGAGAATGCAAATTTACTAAGAACTGAATTGCAACTGCTTAATTTTATTTGGAACTGCTTGGAACCAGATATATTGGACATCTATTTTATCATATAACGTTATACAATAACGATTGTTCTGATTAGCAAGAACAAATACCAAAACTTTAAACATACTTTAAACAAATATCAAAATACTTTAAACATATTAAAGTTAACCAGTTGTCTATAGAAAAACACAAAACAAAAAGTAAATAAATTACTAAACTCCAAATATTTTTCTAGGTTACAAACCTATTACACAACTGAGCTGTCAAACGGACGTTCCCCACAACAATGTAGACAAATTACAATAAATAGGTTAGTTACATCGTCAACTTGAATTACCAACGACAAATAGACGAACTGCCATAGCATAACATTAGACCTAGAGCAATTTTACTTTGTGATATTACACCGACCGGTGTTGTGTCGACCTAAATTTAGGCAAATTACGTTGTTCCCCGATCCTGAGTCAAATAATCAACTGAATGCGATAGTCGTCCTAATATGTTTATTGGGACGACCATTTGTATGTTCACCGTTTGACGGGGTCACAGAGACAATGTGCGCGTTCAGGGAAAACAGCGGCTGACCGACCGCTGAGTATTTTGCTCAGCGGCTGACTGTTTTTGCGTGTAAACAGAGACCGTTTAGGGAAACCGCTTACTCAGCCACTCAGCCGCTGACCGTCCCTAAACGCCCAATATAAAACAGAACTATCCACACGATAACAAGATAATATCGGGAAAACTGTCAAATAAACATCCACCAAAAACAAATAGAATAAACAACTTATGTACTTTAAATGGTTAGTAATATCGTTAGTTTTCTTATTATTTTTATTTCGTTCACATTATCAATACAACTCTTTAAAGCTATTACTTATTGATGGTCGTTTCACAAGTAATGATATCAATTCCTTATTTTTCTCATGTTCTGCATTTCTTATTCTATTTATCGGGTTTTCTTTTTCCATTAATGTACTTTAAATTCCATTGTGTTGGTTTTTCTTCCATTTATATTCTTACTTAAAGTATTATTTTAAACTGAAATGGAGTCGAAAAGAATAGAAGAAAGAAGAATAGTGAAATATGATGACTCTCATTTCCAAAGATTCTCTTGAAAGATAATTATTATCCCTGTCTTGTGTGAATTTCTTAATTACAATACATTATATTATATTTTGCTGCTTGTATCATTATGATAAGAGTTATGATACAGGTACATTCGAAAATATAGTGTGTTTGGTTTACCTAATTAATATACCTAATTTATTTGATAACATTCATAACCAATAACACATTCTAAACCATCAACACATATTAAACAATATTGAAGTTAATCAGTTGATTTGAGTTAGAAAATCAAAATTTTTCGGTCAAATATACACTAGGTAATCAACGTAAATAAATGCCTCAATTCACAATAATAATGGCATTTTTTATGCCTTCTCCATTTTCTGTTCTGTTTATTCTATCTTTTGTGGTATTTTATTAAAATTGGGTTAATTTCTTTTTTTGCTTTTGGATTACAACAAACTTCTGGATTTTACGGTTGTCCAAAATTGGGATATAATTATCTTTATTCCACTTAATTTGTGTGTATTTAATAAATACAATACATTTACTATCTCAATCTTCAATAGGCACCTTATGTCATAACGACACTAAAAATGCAGTGTTCTACCTTGTTCTATTTAGAACTACTTGGAACATTAGATACTGGGCATTTATTTCGTCAAATACAGTTGTATGCAACAATTGTTTTGCTTATCCAAAAGTCAATGCGTTGTCTTTAGAAAAACAAGACGATTCTATGTATAAAATGTAAATAAATGACTAAACCCCAAATATTTTTCTAGGTTAGAAACCTATTACACAACCGATCTGTCAAACGAACATCCACCACAACAATGTAAACAAATTACATTAAATAGGTTAGTTACATCGTCAACTTGAATTACCAACGACAAACAGAAAAACTGCCATAACACTAGACCTAGAACAATTTTACTTTCTGCGATATTACGCCGACCGGTGTTGTTGTGTCGACCTAAATTTAGGCAACTTACGTTGTTCCACGATCCTGGCTCGAATAATCCACTGAACGCGATGGTATATGCGTGTATATGTCGTGGTCCCAATAAACACCCGTTTAAGAGGTCACAGGAATTACGCACAGAGACATAAAAAAGAAAACCTATCGGCACAATAACAACATAATATCGGACTGAAATGGTGGAACCGAGAGAGACGGAGAGATGCGGAGAGAGAGGGCGCGCGATGCCGGTCGACACGCGAACGTAAACATTCGAACTCGCACCGGATGGCGGCGGACTGACGGAAAAGAGAGATAGCGGCAACGCGGTGCGGCGTGGCGCGCACGGTGTGCGCAATACTGCGGCGAAATGGGAGGCGCGTGCGCCAAATCAACCTCGCGCTGCCCGACTGCGAAGCGGACGATGCGATCGCTGGCTGGCAAAATTAACGAAGCCGATGGTGAAATGCAACTCGACTCCGGCTTTGAAGCAGAAGAATTTTAGGTTGAAGACGCATCAGCATTAGTGGCTATCTAGCAGCTAACCATTTCGAGTTTTAGAACTTTTACAACAACAATCGAACTACTGCTGAATGATCAAGCGCAGCTTAACCAGGTTGAACAACTTAACAAAAGATTCCAAAGATGCCCTAACCTAACCTAACAACAGGAAGTTAGACGAAGGATTCAGAACGCAAAACGAGTAATCTGATGCCTTAAACTCAGTTTGGTAGGATATGCACCACGGAGGAATAAGAGAGGAGAGGCGCTACAGCTGTTGCGAAAAGAGGTTCACCTAGCCGCCCGCCATATTTCATTGTGGTACTTTTTGTAATTTGTGCATTTTTCTCAAAATTTAATGTTTTTCATCGATAATTTGAGTGTTTTCTATTACAAAAAACCTTAAAAACCATGGTGTCGTGTGCTGTACGCAGTTGTAAGAGCAGGAAAGGTATCGACTCGAAGAAACTCACCGGCGTAACATTTCAGAGGTAACATAAACAGCGCGCAGGTCCATAATGACCAAATTAACGAATGAACATTAATTAGTATTGTATGCCTATTTTAACTTTGGTGTAGTAAAAATGACTTGGACGGTGCCTGGCCTGGTTGAATCCGTCTTGTGCTATGGACGTGACTAGGGATGGAACGGATATCCGGCGGTACCACTAAATCCGGCCGATCCGGCCTAAATAACGGAACTACTGATCCGACCGGATAAGCAAATTGTATCAGATTTGTACCAGAAACCTAAAAAATGTTTTTAACAGAGCTTATATGTAAAAATGCTTCAAAAGTAAGGAATGAAAACGTGGTTGGAATGGAGCACACCAAATACTTGTATACTCTATTAGTAGTACTGTATTCACCTCATTCACTTCTCTTACCATTTGCTTATTATAAAGATTCAGTAAGAAAAGATACCAATGTGGAATCACAAATGCATCATGGGAAAAGGTAAATTTATCAACAATAGATGCTATAGTTAATTTTGTGACCAGAATGTACCAAAATTTGCTGTTGTTCCTAATTTATTGAAAGAAATTGTAAAGATTCAATTTTTTGTTTCAAAATAAATAAAAATAAAACAAACATACGGTGAAATAATTAAAATATACGCTGCGTATAAGACAAAATCACGATTCCAATATTAAGGTTGTAAAATAATTTAAGAAAATAAAAAATACAAGCAATGGGTGTTGCAATAAAAAATATTTTCAAGATACACAACAGTTTTACTTATTAAATTCTGGTCAGGCCTAAGCTTCTCGTTAATATAATAATCAAAATTATGATAAATAATTATTTAATAATCAAAAATAACTATAATTAAAGGTCGATTAAAAGAATTAGCTGGAATTGAACTGAATCAACACACCACAATAAACGCAGTAGTGGATACATACAATTTATATAATATCTTGGTATATTACAGTCTCACAAAATAGAACACATCAAAGTCAAACAAACTCTACGGGAAGAATTCGAATCAAGACTCCGAGGTCTGCTTAAAACTAAACTAAACTCACTAAATTTAACTAAGGCAATAAACACATACGCAATACCTGTATTGTCGTATTCATTCGGTATTGTGAAATGGACCAATACCGATCTGGACCAACTAAACCTTAGAATACGCGTTCTTATGACCCGATCAAGGAAACATTACCCTAAGGCCTGCATCGAAAGGATTACATTACCACGCAACCAAGGAGGAAGAGGTATTCAAGATATTAAAGAGTTTTGCTACCGACAAATTAGTGACTTAAGAGCGTATTTCTTTAAAAACGAAAACCGAAGCTGTCTGCATCGCATAATTGTCAAAGCTGACAAGAATTTCACCCCCCTCAACCTTAATCAACGAAGCAACATACAAATTCCAGAAGATTCCACTACGATGAGAAAAGATCCGATTGCGGTCAACAAAGGAGCTACACGGGCGTTTCTATCGCCTCTTATACGATGATGAAACTGATATTCCTCAATCACTTCAATGGGCAATTCAGGGTTAACTGAATCCAGAAACCGAAGGTTTCCGCATCGCCATTCAGGACCAGGTAGTTAAGACCCGCAATTATGCCAAATATATTCTGGGTGAGGCAGTGGACTCTGATTTATGCAGAAAATGCCATAAATGTCCAGAAACAATAGACCACATTTTATCAGCCTGTGGGATATTAGCACGAACGATCATTGTATTTAGAAAGGCATAATCAAATGGCAGGTATAATTCATCAGAACTTAATGACTCAGACAGGAATTAAGGAAGATACACGACCATATTATCAATATGAGCCGGCCAGTGTTGAGGAGGATCCGAGATATAGAGTCTACTGAGATAGGACTATACTTACCGACCGAACTGTGAGTCATAATAGGCCTGACATTACTCTGGTAGATAAAGAGGAAAAATTACTTACCTGATTGATATATCAATTCCTGCAAATAATAATATACATCAGAAATATCACGAAAAAATAGAGAAATACAGTAAACTTCGAGAAGAAGTCCTAAAAATATGGGATATGAAAAAGGTAATTGTGGTCCCGATAATTATGTCGTCCACGGGCTTAGTACCAAGTCATCTGAAGAATAGTTTAAAAATAATAAATCTATCTGAAGATATTATCTCAACAATGCAGAACGCCACTATACTTCAATCTACATCAATGGTCCGATCTTTCTTAGCTAACTAAAAGTGAGAGTTCCTGATACTAAGTTATCCGTTCCTCACACTACCCAATAAGGTAAAAAAAAATAATAATAATAATAATCAAAACTATTTAATAAATAGCTGAGAAACTCGAATATTAAGTAAAAAAGTCAACTAATAAAATGGGATAGAATCATACTGTGCAATATTTACTGACTGTGTCAGATCGAGCAGTCAATATTATAGCAATTGGGGGAAGGGGGAAGACCCAAAAACAACCAGAAGCTAGAGGAGCTGTACAGGGTGAGCCAACGATAGAGTAAAGTCCATTATCTCATTTGTTTCAAGATTTACAAAAAAATGTTTAATATAAAAGTTATAGGGATGGTTAAGATACACATTTTAAAATTATTATAGAATATACAAGGTGCTTCAAAAATATGTGGCGGCTATAACATATGTTTTTTTAAATGCAATACCCTATTTTTTATTTTATTTTTACATTCTGCGTAAAATTCCATAACTTTTTTATATATAATGTTATATATCTAAAATTAATAGTTTTTGTAATATTTCAATTTATTTAAACAAATGTTAAATTGCAATGTGGTAAAAAATTATCAGTGGTGTCATTGTTTCTGAAGTTGGAGTACCAAAATTTGGTAGGAGAGTTTTATAGAGATGAAAAAAAAGATATATGTAAAGATATTTTAGTTAAATGATACAGGGTGTTCAAAATATATTTATGAATTTCAACTACTTAAAATTAAAAAATCTCAAATTTTTTAAATGGGACACCCTATATATTATCATTTTTTCTGATAGATTTGACAAAACTCTTCAACTTTTATTAAGTATGTCATATCCCTAATTTTAATAGTTTCCGATTTATTCCCATTTTATCTATTTTTACCCATAATTTTAATACAATTACCCTATAAAATCATAGTTACCATGACAAAACAAAACTATTTATTGCTTATCTTTAACAAGTAGCTTCATAGTTAGTTCAATTGCTGGTATTAGTTAAAATTAATTAACTTTACTCAAATAAACTAAATCGCAGTAGTGAATTTCTTGGTGTATTTCTATATTATGAAAGATGTCACTTGGAATTATATGGAAAAGCCAATATAACTACTGCCGCGAAACCGTCCCATTACACATTGAATATGTTTTCTAGATAATATATATCTATCCTTATAGTACTTAGCAAAGTACTATATAATATATAGTACTGAACCAAAAAATGTGGTTTTCTAAGCTTGTCCGTGTATATCAATTACATTGACTAATTCATTTCAAGAAAATCTGTAACTATTATCTCTACCATTTATACTTATTACAACAAATTAAACTAAAATTCAGATTTTGTTCTTAACTTGCTTAACAAACATGAAATTGTGATAATTATTACTTTTTGTCATGGCAACTATGATGTTATAGCGCAATTGTATTAAAAATATGGGTAAAAATAGAAAAAATTGGAATAAATCGCAACCTAATAAAAATAGGTATATGATATTCTTAATAAAAGTTGAAGAGTTTGGTAAAATCTATCAGAAAAAATGATAATATATAGGGTGTACCATTTAAAAAAATTGAAATTCCTTAATTTTAAGTAGTTGAAATTCCTAAATATATTTTGAACACCCTGTAACATCTAACTAAAATATCTTTACATAGGTCTTTTTCTATATCTCTCATAAAATTCTCCTACCAAATTTAGTTGTCCAACTTCAGAATCAATGCCATCATTGACAATTTTTTAACCCACTGCAATCTAACATTTGTTTAAACAAATTTAAATATAACAAAAACTATTAATTTTAGGTATATAACATTATATATAAAAAAGTTATGGAATTTTTCGCAGAATCTAAAAATAAAATAAAAAATAGGGTGTTGCATTTAAAAAAAAACATGTTTTAGTCGCCACACTTTTTGAAGCACCCTGTATACTGTATAATAATTTTAAAATGTGTATCTTAACCATCTCTATAACTTTTATATTTAATTTTTTTTTTGTAAACCTCAAAACAAATGAGATAATGGACTTTACTCTATCGTTGACTCACCCTGTACAAGAAGAAAAAAATCGTAAGATACATTTGGAGAGTAGAGTAAGATGGTCA